TCACTGTAGAGCTGCACCATGGTACTGAGCGCCCCCTGCAGCTCCTTGTAGATGTAGACTACGGCGAAGGAGCTGTAGTCCGTGTGCACGATGCGCACGTCCAGGTAGCCCAGGGCTGCGGAGAAGAAGTGCACAAGGCCCAGACGCCCACCCCAACTCGCGCCGGCCTCTGCTCCGAGTGGCAGAGGGGGAGGGGTGGGGGAGGGTAGGAGATGGCGATGGAGGCGGGGATCCCGGATATATGGACAGTAGTCCAATGTCACCCTATGGAGAAGCGGTGTCAGGCACCCCTGAAGACGTGGGGGGGGGGTGCGGACTTACCTGGGACTCTGAAGTGCCCCTGGGAGCCCACCCTCATGTACTCCGCATCCACCTGGTTACAGCCGTCAGCCCTGGGGTTACACAGCCCTCTCACTCTGTGGCTGTCCAGCCTCACCCCGCCCCACCAGCTGCGCCCCACAACCACCAGGCTCACCTAGGGAATGCCATGTGGACGCTGAGGTTGCCCTCTGCCGCTGCTGTGACAACCGTGGTGGACATCAGCAGATGGTCCTTTTTGTCCAGGAAGACCTTGCAGTCGGACACCATGGAGACCACGAACCAGAGGCCTGAGAACTGCAAGGCAGCTCAGTGGGTGGGAGGCCTGGGGACTCAGGGCACAAAGCTGACAGCTCAGAACCAGGACCTGTCTGAAGTCACACAGCCGGGTCTCCAGAGTGTCCACCTCTTGGGTCTGAGCCCGAGGTGGACAAGAGCCCTGTTCTCACTCACCTGGGACAGGTCTCATCACCTGTGAGCCTCAGTACCCCAGTGTGGAGTGGATCAGTAATCACCTCACACAAGGTGGTATCGGACTAACATGGAGAGCGAGTCTAAGGGCTCGCAGCCATGAGGACAGCAGGCGGGGGGGGGGGGTCGCCATGATCTCCAGCAGGGGCTCAGCCCCCAGCCCCACCCACAGCACAGCACGGAGGCCTTTGGTACCTTCTTGGCATCAAAATCTGGCTGCACCAGGACCTCAGTCCAGGCCTTGGACACCCAGAGTAGCACCAGGACCCGGGCCAGCAAGACAGACTTCATCCCGACACCTGTTTTTGGCCCCTGGCACTGAGTCCGCACCCCAGCAGGCCCAGCTTTATAGCCCAGCCCAGCAGCTGGGCTTGGCAGACGAGCAGGTGGGGGAGCGGAAGGCTCTTGGGCTCCAGAAACTCCAATCTTTCTTTGTCCATTGTTTGGGACAATCACTCCTGTGTCCTCACTGGCTTCAGGGGTCATTTCCTTGAGGGCTCCAGAGAGCCAGGCTCTCACCTGGCTCCCCTGAGCTGAGGATTTGTCCCCCAAACCTGCCAGGTAGTCCCAGGGGCCCAAGCAGAGACTGCCATGGCCTGCTGGGACCTGGTCCCTGTGCACCTCTGACCTGGCTGGGGCTGGGGCTGGGGCCCCAGAAACCTCAAGGTGCTACTGGGAAGCAGCCAGGCTCAGGTCTGCTCTGACCAGCAGGTCCCCACTGAGAGTCTGGGTCCCCCAGAGTCCTCACACCCTCCCTTCTTTGCACAGTGGAGTCACCACTGGCCAGGCCTCTGGACCTTGTGTAGGGGCAGCTGTGGGAGAGGTGACATAAGACCTGGGTGCCCCTCACCCCAGGCCCCCACTGCCTCCACACAGCCACCAACTGGGCCATCTGGAGAGTAGGGCTGTGCCTCAGCTTAGGGTGGATTATGGTCTCAAAGCCACCTTATCACCAGTTGCATAAGCATGCGGGCAGGAGTGTCGCCTGGGAGCTGGCAAGGCCTCTGCAGGTGATGTCTCCAGTCCACGCAGACAGAGCACCCAGGGACACTATACGAGGAGTAGCATTTGGGTGACATCAGGCACACCACCCAGAAGACTCCAGTCAGGGCAGGGCTTCCCAAGCCGGGCCAGCACTACCAGTGCTCGGGAGTACAAAGGGGTACAGGGTCAGAGAAAGACCCTCGTCTCCCAGCGTGAGGGAGGGGTGGGGCCCAGTCTTCTGTTGGCCACCTCCACTGAGTTTCAGGAGGCACCAGCTCTCAACCAGGTCCCAGAGTCACCAGAGAGAACCCAGCAAAGCCTTCCCGTGAAAATATTTACGAAACACACATCTGATAAAGGACTTAGATTCAGAATCTACAAAGAGCTCTCAAGACTTGATGATAAAAAAGCAAACCACCAATAAAAAATTTAAAAACCAGGAAAAAGATTTTAAAAGACATTTTACCAAAAAAGATATTTGGATGGAAAAGAAACGCATGAAAAGATGCTCACGTCATTCGTCCTGGGGGCATGCAAATTGAGACCATGAGACATGACTACACACTTATCAGAATGGCAACAAGTTTGAAGATAAAGACTGTCACTGCTGGGTAGGGAGGGAAAGATGGAACAACACTGGGAAGATGGTTTGGCAGAGTCTTATAAAGCTCAGCACTCATTCACCATCCCGTTCAGCAACTGCACACCTAGGTATTTACCCCAGAGTGTCGAATTGACAAATAATTTTCCAGGTAGTCTGCCAAAAGAGCGTTTATTTGGGAAAAGAAAAAAAGCAAAACCATCTCAGCAGTGTGAGAACGCACACCTCCAGCTGGCCGCCCACGTGCAAACAGTATCTCTCCTCCCAAGATGGCCCCTATATACAGAGGGTGCCAAAAAAAAACATATACACATTTTAAGAAAGGAAAAAAACTGTATTAAAATTGTATCAGTTGGGCCGGCCGAGTGGCGCAATGGTTAAGAACTGGCTTGGGACGCCAGAGGGCCCCGGTTCGGATCCCACATATGAGGGCCAGTGACACTGGCCTCTACAGCTAAGATGCTGAACAACAGCTCAACCTGGAGCTGGGCAGCTGTGAGTCGCTGGCGACGCATAGGCTGCACCCCTGCTGCAGTGGGTTGCCATGGGCTACCGTGTATAGCCAGCAGCCAGCGTGAGCGGCCAGCAGCCGCAGTGAGCGGCCGTCCAGAAGCCGGCGATTGATCTGCCTCGCCCAGGAAGAGCGCAATGATGGTGCCAACTTGGGCCAGTGAAGTAACGTCCTCCACAACTAGACTGAAGAACAAAAGGACAGCAACTTGTCTGTTCCCCTTCCCCCAGATTCCCCAGGGCTGTTCCCATCCCCCAATTCCCCAATAAAAATCTTTAAAAAAAAAGAAGAGTGTGAACTCTGAGCAACAGGGTCGCCGGTTTGATTCCCGGCCCAAGCTGAGCTGCCGCTGAGCTGCCAACAGGTGACAGGATGGCTCAGCTAAAGAAAAAATAGATTAAAATAAATAAATAAAAGTAATATATAGATAAAATCTCTTAAAATGTGTAATTTTTTGGCAATTAATTTCACGAACTCATCCTAGAAAAAGTGCTAAATCCCTCATTGCTGAATATCACTACGGTCACCTTCAAAGTACTCCCCTTGGGAAGATATGCACTGACACCAGTGCCTAGTCCACCCTTCAAAGCAATTTTGGAACTTTTTCTGGAATGGCCATTAGAACTGTTGTTGTATTACCCTTGATGTCCTGAATGTCTTCAAACTGTCTCCTTGCAATATTTCCTTTACCTTTGGGTGAAGAAAAAAGTCATTGGGAGGGCCGGCTGAGTGGCTCAGTTGGTTAAGCAACAGGGTCACCGGTTCGATTCACAGCCCGAGCTGAGCTGCGGCTGAGCTGCCAACAGGTGGCAAGATGGCTCAGCTAAAAACAAACAAAACAACAAACAAACAAACGTCATTGGGAGCCAGATCAGGTGACTAGGGACTAGGGAGGGTGTTCCAATATAGTTATTTGTTTACTGGCTAAAAACTCCCTCACAGACAGTGCCGTGTGAGTTCGTGCATTGTCGTGATGCAAGAGCCATGAATTGTTGGCGAAAAGTTCAAGTCTAACTTTTTCACACAGCCTTTTCAGCACTTCCAAATATTAAACTTGGTTAACTGTCCAATTGGTACAAATTCATAATGAATTATCCCAACATCAAAAAAGGTTAGCAACACGTCCACAAACTTGTCAGACCTTGTGTATATATAAACTACATATGTATATACAATCTTCCTGCAGTGCTGTCCCTTGGGTTGAGGGCAGGTGGCCTGTGTAAGTCCTCGGCCACAAGTCCAGAGCACCAGGTAAAGGGTGGGGGCGGGGGTGTGGCAGGACAGACGCTGGACCTCCCAACATAGGACTACAGGGCGATAGAGAAACTTCAGCCCTCTTCCTGGAGTCACCAAGGACCAAGGGACAGACCACTCAATTCTCCTGCCACAGACCCAGGAGCTGTGGGGTCCCTGTGGGAAACAGAAATGCAGCCCAGCTCAGGCCCCACTACAGCCCTGAGCACATCCTGGATGGAAGGACACAGTAAGGGTCTGAAAGGCTGGGAGGTCCCTCCCCACACAGCCTCTGCCGGAGCTGCAAACCCACAGCAGGGCAGTGAGTCCAGCTTTGGGCACGGGCTGAGCACCAGGCTTCAAGGCACAGCAGGTTTTGACCTACTCGCAGGGCCCACCCTTGTCCCCTTGCCCTTGGCTCCAGCCACACGGGCCTCCGGAACATTCTGCAGATAGGCCACGCTCAGTGCCACTCAGCAGTTCACATTTGAAAGACTTCAGCCTGAAGTCTCTCCCGCTGAAGACCTCCTGGGATGTGCGCGCGCGCACAGCCTGGCCCCTCCCCGTTTTGTTTTCCTGATTTCTCTCCCGGGTCTGTTTACCTGTCTGCTCTATGAGGGCAGGGGCTCTGACTCCTCCATGAGACCCCCAGCTCCTAGCACAGAACTTGCATGAAGTATGGGCTTATAGTATTTTGGGGTTTAATTTGCTAAATAATCATTCCATACTTCGCTACTCCGTGGTCGTTTCCAAGAGATTTAATCCCTTAAGCAAAGCCCCACCACAACAAATACTATCAATAATTATTACGCCTCTGCGAGCGTGAAAGTGACGTGGGGTGACTGAAACCGTGTGCCCGCCAGCACCCGGCGCCCCTCCTTCCCTAGGTGACAGAGCCGGGTGCAGGGAGAGCGCCTCAGGCTCCGCCCCCTCCACCAGGACCCGCCCCCTTCGCAGCGCTGTGCTCCCTCCGCCCTGCTCCGCCCACGCCCCACTCCACCTGACTCTGCTCAGACCCTCCCGCTAGTCCCCGCCCCCGGCCCGCCCCCTTTGCCCCCACCTGTGCCCGCCTCCCGCCGCCTAACGTCACAGCCCAGGCTGGGCAGGGCGCAACACGCTCCTCCCGCTTTGCACTGACCCGCCTCCGCTCCTGCCGGTCCACCCAGCGCCCTCGCCTCCCGCCAGGCCCCGCCCCTCCCCGCCAGGCCCCTCCTCCCGCTCCTGCGCAGGCCCGCCCGCCAGGCCCTGCCAGGCCCCGCCAGCTAGCCATGGTAAACCTGGGCCTGTCGCGGGTGGACGACGCCGTGGCCGCCAAGCACCCGGTGAGAAGGCCGGCCTGGGAGGCGGGCCCCGGACCTCAGAAGCTGACCTGAGCGGGGCGCGGGGCGCGGGGCTCGGTGGGTGTGACCTCGTTAGGGAAGAGGGGCAGAGTCCGAACCCTCTAGCTATGGCGGTGGGTCTTTCTGGGTGGGCATGGGAACGATGGCATGTGTCCAGCCCCCCAGGGCCTCACAATGAGTGGTCCCTGCCCGAGGCCCGGGTGTGCCCAAAGGAAGGACAGGAGGAACAATGAAGAGGGAGAGGAACTGAGCTTTCAACCCCCTCTCCCCTCCCAGGGACTGGGGGAGTATGCTGCGTGCCAGTCGCAAGCCTTCATGAAGGGCCTTTTCACCTTCGTCACAGGTAGGCTGGGTCCAGGTGTCCTCTGGTGTAGAGACCTCAACTTCCAGGTGGTGCCAGCTCAGCTGCCTGCAGGTACTGGGAGCCTGGCACGTGCCGTGGGCACTCAGGCTGCGCCCAGGTGGTCCCCTGGCCAGCCCTGTGGACAGGCTGGCTGATGGGGACCGTGTCTTTTGGCAGGCACCGGAGCAACCTTGGGCCTGCAGATGTTCACTCAGAGGAAGTTTAAGTACCCCTTTCAGTGGAACGTGCTGGTGGCCGTGGGTGGGTACTCTAGGGTTGGTGCCTGGGACCCCTGAAATGCACCCCAGTTGCCAGAGGTGACGCTGGCTCATCAGCAGGGGTGGGTTCCCACTAGGAGTGGAGGGCTGTGTCCCAGGTATCCCTGCATTCTGGGATGGGGCCCCGGTTTTCAGTGGGAGCCCTGCCCGAGCCCATCACCACCATCTGCCCAGAAGAATCGGTGCCCAGGTTCTCTTTCCTGAGAAGTGCAGAGGCCCAGGCCCCCCAGCCCCTACTTCTGCTCCCCAGTTGCAGGCTCAGTGGCCAGCTACTGGGTGACCCGAGTGGAGTCGCAGAAATGCAGTAACCTCTGGCTCTTCCTGGAGACGGGACAGCTCCCCACAAACACAGGCCCAGGTGAGAGGCCCAGGGGCAGTGGGAGGCAGAAACTTAGTTCCAGTGTCCAGAGTTTCAGGCACGCAAGCCCGGGGCCCGAGACGTGGGCTGGACAGGGCCTTTCCCCTCTGGCCTGAGCCCTCCGCATGCGCGTCCTGGAGCAGGAGTGTGTACAGCAGAGGTACCTCTCAGAACCCTGGTGCAGAAGGAAGACCCAGGAGGCGTTGGGTGGCCCTGGGATGGCAGAGTGAAGAGCGAGCGCCCCAAGAAGAGCGGCCAGCAAGATTGAGAGGCCAGGCATCAGATACCACGCTGGTGAATCTCAGGCCTGGCCTCCACTGCCTGAGGCCTTGGTTTTTGCCACAGTAAAATGGGTGCAGGGACCATGCAGGGACAGCTTTAGGATGTGGATCGAGCTGTCTCCGTTTGCCTCTTACCAGATCAGCGCAGCTAAGAGAGCTCCAGCCAAGGCGCAGAAGACCTGGGGCCAGAGAGTTCTAGAACATCGCCCTCAGTGCCTCCACATCCCAGGCCAGTCCTCCCCCCTCACATTGGCCCTGCCTGCACCCTAAGGTGCCCCAGCCCTGTCCCCTGCACACAGGCATGGCCAGTTCTGCCAAGCCCACACAATCAACGGGGCCCTGCCCAGGAGGTCAGACCCGAGGGCCATTGCTGGATTGGCCTCCTGTATGGCATTGAGAAACATGGTGGACACAGCCGGAGAGGATGGTGGCCTGTCCCACGCACAGCTCTGGGACTCTGACACTCCCTTTTTGGCCCTGCATCCCCGCTCCAGTCAGGTGACACGTGCTGCTGGGGTTGTGGGATTAATAAACGCCTTGTTCTTTTCCCACCTGAGTTCTGCAGTGATTGGGAGGCATCCAAAGCAGGAGGAAGCCGAGAGACAAATGTCACCTTAGTGCCACCTGGCTGACACTGGAGGCCATGCCAGGCAGTTCCTAACACCGAAGCCCAGAATTGGACACTCGTGCCGGCCCTGAGGGCCCTGTAGGACCATGTGGGGTCTGCTCCTGCACCACTTGGCATGGAGGAGGAGAGTACAAGGTGTGCAACCCAGTGCCTGGCTCCAGAGATGTGAGGGACAGGAAGTGGCTATGCCCACCTGCCTGTCATCCCACACAAACCTGTCAGATGAAGTCACTTCTCTCCAGGAGCGCAGGGAGGCCCAACCTAGCTTACTGGAGCTCTGTCCTCATGGAAGGAAAGCTCATGAGTGGGCAAGCTACCCACATCGCCCACCGCCACAGGGGAAGAGGCAGGGATGATGTAAGCCTGGGCAAGTCCGTCATCCTTGACAGTTGGCTTCCCAGTCACACTGAAGACACACAGCAGGGCCATGCACTGGAGCCCAGCTCAGCTCCTGCACCTCTTGGCCTAGCCAGTCATTCAAAAGAATGTCTGCGGACACCTGTACACCAGGGGCCTGTTGGTGGAAAGACACAACGACAAGCAGCCCAGGGTAACCATGGCGTAAGCAAGCTAAATTCTCCATGTAAAAGTCAAGTGGGTTGCCTGGGGTTGACTAAAGGACCCAGGGTCCTTTTAGTCTGTCCCCTATTGTAGTGGTGCCCGGAGGCTGTGCCAGCTCCAGCCATCGCGTCTTTATTGCAGTGAACAGGAAGGAGAAAGGCAGAGGGCAGTTCCCTCACCGTTCTGCTGATACCCCACTAGCCAGAACTGAGTTCGTGTGGTACATTTGTGCAAAGGCACTGAGGAAGGCAGCCTTGCTCTGCGTAGCCATGTGCCCACTAAAATTCAGGGGTTCTGTATCTGAGCAAGAAGGGAGAACCAATATTGAGGGACAGAAGCAGGCTCTGATTCAGACCTTGGGAGAAGGGGAGCACATGGCAGGTCCTTCCAACTCCCTGAGGGTAAGGCCTGGGCTCGGAGGGAAGGCAGAGGGCGAACTTGGGAGTTTTGGAGCAGACTGGACTCACTTTTTAAAAGCTGAGAGTGACCGGAAAGGTAAAGGATGTGTGAGAGGTCATAGAAGAAGTTGGGTGCTGTGAGAGCATATGGGTCAAGGCCATCGTTATGGTTGAACTGTGTCCCCCAAAAGTCACATATTGCAGCCCTAACCCCAGGATCTCAGAGTACGCCTGCATTGGGAAATAGGCCTCTGGAGAGGTGATTAAGTTAAAACGAGGGTGGGCCTTGACCCAACCCGACTGGTGTGCTGTTAAGAGATGAGGACACAGGTGGGTGCAGAGAGACCACATGAGGACACAGGGAGAAGACTGCTGTCTGCAAGTCCAGGAGAGAGGCCGTGGGACGAACCAGCCCAGCCCTTGGACTTCCAGACTCCAGGATATGGGACGATAAATGTCTATTATTTAAGCCGCACATCTGCGGTGCTTTGTTACAACTGCCCAGCGAACTCATGCAGTGTGGCTGGGAAAAGTAACCCATCCGGTGCACGCCTCTGGAATCCCAGGCTGTCCGGTGCTTGGGGCATGGGGCTCAAAGGGAAGCTTGGGCTGGGGCTGCAGAGATGGGGGACTGACCCCTCCTGGAGTGACATCTAAAGCTAGACCCAGGAATTCCCCAGAGAAGTGGAGGCTGAGCAGCATGGCTCCAGGTAGCAGGCGAGGGCCAGAGGCTGGGGTTCTCATGAACCAGGTTACCCAGAGTACGCAGTGTGAACTTGGGGTGGGGGGATGGAGATCGTGTAAGGCAGTGAGGTCGGTAGTTGTAGGAGGCTCAATGGAGGGGATGGGAGGGTGCGGGTACACTGCCAAACCACCACAAGTCACCTCCCTGTGGAAGAAGGGTGCCTGGCCCAGGCTGTGCTCCTGAGCAGAGGGCAGCCACAAGACACAAGAGTCCAGAGGACACCCCAGGTTGGCTTGGGGCAGAGAGTGGTAATGAGGCTGGCCAGGAATTCCAGGGTTCCCTGGGCTTTGGGCACCTTGGGAACCCATCACAATGGCCTCAATTCCGGGGGCAATCTGAACTGCAGTCCTGGTGAGCAGCGGGGGCAGGTGGTGCAGAGGGCCACCATGAAGATGCGGAGTGAGGACGATGTGGACAAGCAGACCCAGGAGCTGAAGACCATCACTCGGCTCCAGGGTGAGCCTTCTGCTGGAGTGACCGCCACCCCCCACCAGGCTCAGGGGCTCCTGGGAGCAGCACTTTCAGTTTTAACACAAGTACAGTCCAGGGCAAACGGGCTAGCGGTCGCCCTACCCAACCCCCCAAACAGCTGGAAGAAGGGATCAAAGGGGACTGCCAAGCATGGGACAGGGATAGGGGACAGAAGCTGAGGGGCTTCACAGATATTTGTGAGCATTGCGGGCCCCAAGCCAGAGGGAACAGGAAGGGACCCCCCCTTTGTGGCCAGCAGGTCTGGAAGGGATCACAGGACTTTCCCGTCCCTGGCTTCTGCCTCCCCATCCCCACTGCGCAGCACAGCTGTGCACTGCCAGCCATCCAGATGAGCACTGCTGAGCAGTGACACTGGCGGGGATGGCCAGGTAGGAGATAGGAACATGGCCTCCAGCTGCCAGCCTTCCCTCCCACCACCCCACATCCCCCTGGAATCCGCCCGGCCCTTGGCCTACACTGTGGCCATCCCATCGGTCCCCCGGGCCACAGAGCAATGCCGGGCGCTGCAGATCCAGGCAGTGAAGGAGAAGACGGTCAAGAACAGAGCGACCCTGGCTCTCCTGCGCAAAAACATCCGTCATGGGATCCAAGATGGGGCTTTGGCCAAGAAGGTGAACAGCCCTGCCTCCTCCCTGCTGCCTGGGGGTGGGGCAGGCACGTGCTGAAACCCACACAGGTGGACGGCAGGCACCTCTGCTCCTTTCCCCGCTCTGATCCCAACCTTTCCGGAGCCAGGGAACATCTGAGGGGGTGTTCGTGGGGACTTTTGCTGGCAAGTCAGTCCAGAGAGCCCAGGGGCACGTTCCCCACCACCCGCCCTAGAGGGCAGGCCCGGTTCCCCGACTAGGTTCCCTTTCCTGGGCTGCCCCCTGCAATACAGGCCCCTCTAGCTCTCTGGCCATGTAGGGAACACCTGGGCCCTCCTCTCTGAACCCCCATCACATCTGGGCTGGGACGGCCTGGATGGGGTCCTGTAGCCAGCCCTCTGCAAGTCTTGCTACTGGGCTAGCACAGGGCAGAAGAGGCCCAGGGAGAATGCCTGCAGGGGCCGGGTGCAGGGGGTGCAGAGAGGCTGCTCCCCACTCCCCTCCCCCAGCTCAGCCGCCACTGCCCCACAGTATGACCAGCAGACCATCTCCAAGGCCTGCGGGAAGGACATGCCCACGAGGTTGGCGCACTGCCGCTGCACCATGGAGGTAAGGCGTCAGGAGGGCCCCTCAGTCCAGCCCAGCCAATGCACCCTTCATTAAACCACGCTGGGGAGCCGGTACAGGGCACAGGAGTTTCCCACCCCAGGGTCCCTCCCAGTCCACTCACGCGCGGGCCGTGCCCTCCCCCGACCCAGGTGGCGCGGGAGAAGTTGCGCAAGCACGTCTTCGACCGCGTGAACGTGCACAACGTGCTGCTCCACCTGGTGCGACTGCGCGGGAAGCAGCTAGAAAGCAAGCAGCTAGAGCTGGCCAGCCTGCAGAACCAGCCCGACGCCTCCAAGGAGCAGCTGCGCTTGCTGCAGGTGGTGACGGGAGCGGGGCGGAGCCTCGCGGAGGGCGGGGCGGAGCCTCACGGAGGGCGAGGCTCCGCGGGTTGGGACTCGGAAAGAGCAGAGCCTCTGGGTTGGGGATCCGAGAGTGGGGTGGTGCGGGGCTACGTGGGGAAGGCGGGACTAGGTGAATGAAACCTCCTTGGAAGAAAGCCCAGCCCCCTCCTGGGCTGGCCTCTGCGCCTCCAGATGGCCTAGCTCGGCTCTCATTGTGCCTACGGGCGGTCCCCAGGTTATCCGCCAGCTGGAGAACAACATTGAAAAAACCATGATCAAGATCACCACGAGCCAGAACATCCACCTGCTGTACGTGGAGCTGCTGGATTACCTGAAGAAAGTGAGCCTCTCACCCTGCACGCCAGCGTCAGGGAGCCCAGTTGGCCTGCAGGGGACAGGGGTCTCAGGCCCCAGCCTGTGCGCAGGGCTGGGATCTCTGTGGGGACAGGAGCCTCCTGAGCAGGGCCGCCCCCAAGGCCTGCAGCTCTCCTCCAGGCCTATCACCCCAGGGCACCAGTACCTAAAAAACATTCCTTCAGGAACATCATTCACTACTCCAAAAAGGCATCTTATGGGACACATGAGAATTGTTTGGATTTACATGCATGTACTTGATGGTGTAGTGTGGCTTTTCTTTTGCCTGCCATTTTTCGTTGCCCCACCTCTGAGGGCGAGATGAGCCCTCCGACCTCAGAAAGTCCCCCATCACACAGGGCAGGTTGCCCCTGAGCAGGCCTGTCACCTCATCTTGCTGCCCACCTCTGCCCAGCCAGCTGCCCTGCTCCCTGTGGAGGAGGCCAAGAGGAGGCCGCCAGGGGCCATGAGACCACTGTGAGGCTCAGCCCCTTCCTTCACAGGAGACCCCCCTTGGCCCCCACACAGCGGAGCGCAGGCGCCTGCCACAGGTGTAAATAGTAAGATGAAGAGGACTGGAGGGTGGCTGCCACGGTGCTGAAAGAAGGGACAGTGAGGGAAGCCCCCCGAACTTCCTCATCCTGAGGCTGGAGAGCAGGAGGGCAGTGGGGCTGGAAGGTGAGAGGTGGACATGTGGTGGGATGGGGCAGCACCACAGATTTTCCCGGCTTGGGTTCCAGCCCCCCCAGATCCTGACTGTGGCCCCCAGAGCCAGGCAGCACACAGCTTCATCCTCCAGCCTGTCCCTCCTGCCTCAGCCCCCTGGTCCTGGAGACTCGCCTGGAGGCCTTGCTCACCTTCCCTTCCTGGGCCCACTCCACCTCACACCCCTTCCCGCTCCACTGCACCCCAGGGTCCTGCCCTCCTTCACCTGGGCACGTTGTGTTGCCCATGCCTCCTCCCCATGGCACCTTCCTATCTTTTCAGAGCGTATGCATTAAAAAAAAATAACACCAGGGCCGGCCGAGTGGCTCAGTTGGTTAAGAGCTCGCTCAAGAGTTTGAGCTCTGAGCAACAGCGGTTCGAGTCCAGCCCGAGCTGAGCAGCCGCTGGGCTGCCAACAGGTAGCAGGACGGCTCAGCTTAAAAATAAATAAATAAATAACACCAGTGATCACCTGCATTTAAAAAAAAAAACAGCAAAGATTCTACACTGCAGTTATTAACGACAAAATACTCAGAGCCGAGATATCTTGGACATTTATGACCCTGGCCCTGGCTAAGTACCTCACTTATCTCCTCAGTCGACCTTGACAGTACCCTTCTGAAAGAGTCATGATCACCTTTGTACAGATGGGGACACTCAGGTTAAGTGGCTCTCCCATGGTCCCACAGCTAGCCTGTCAGGGTGGCCTTGGCCTTGAGCCCTGAGCCTCTGACCCCAAACCCATTCTGAGCCCCTCTGCTTCACTTCAGACAGCAGCTGCTCCCCAGCAGCAGGCCTCCCTGGGTTTCAGAGTCACCTCTCACACAGTGGGACATCCCATCGTCACCTGTCTCTGGGCCGTCTGGGCCAGGGCAGTAGGAGAGTCTACCAGGAAGATGCTGTGCCTCTCTCCAAAAGACTTCCTTTCATCTGCTCTGTGCCTGGCAGGGGGCCGGGGCCACAGGCCACTGTTCTCTGCCCTCACAGTCTGGGGTGAGGGAGGGAGCAGTGGCCATCCACTCTGTAGAAGCCACAAGAGAAGTGGGGAGGGGGCGGGGCAGAGTAGTGGGCATGGAACAGGTGGCACGTGGTTGGCCCTGGGCCATCAGGCTCTGTGCCCACCGGCCCTACTCCTGTGCAGGAACTGGCCGGATACCCCACAGAGCTGGACAAGCTGCAGAACCTCGTGGTTGACTACTGCTCAGAACTATCGGATATGACAGTCATGTCCCAAGATGCCATGATGATTACGGATCAGGTCAAGGTGAGCTCAGGTCCCAGGCTGGGCTTCCTGCAAGGCTCCAGGGCCCATCAGGACACCCCCTTGCCCATGCTGCCTGTAATCACTGGAGGAGGCCAGCGCCACCCCCCTGCCAGCCTGCTCTGCTCACACAGATGCGGTGGACAGAGGGAACCCCACTAGGCAGGAAGCCATGGGGTAGACGAGGAGGGAGAGAACTGGCCTGGGATGGGCAGGGCTACCCACTCACCCAGTCTGTGCCCAGGCCGCCTCCAGACTCCTGCAAAGCAGGCGTGTCCTGTCCTCATGAAATGGGCAGGGTGGGGAGACAGCGTCCATCCAGTCATCCATGTCACACAGCCTCAGGCCAGCGCTGCAGAGAGAGGTGGGTGCTGTGGAGCATTGACCTGCTCAGGGAGCTGGTATTGAGAGGGGCCCTGGAGAAAGAAGGACAACAGAGGTCCTGGGGTGTAATGGGGCCCAAAGGGCCCAGACGCTGCAGAGAAGCGAGTCTGGGCTCAGGTGTTGGCCCCCACCTGACCTGGAGCCCTGGGAGTAGACAGGGACCAGCTTAAATGTGTGTTTTAAAACAGGTGCACTCTGGCTGCAGAGGCTGGAGGGAACCAGG